ATGTCATCATCTAAGTCAATTTCATCATCCGGGATCTCTACTGTATCTGGAACATCCTCTTCATCAAAGATATTATTGTCGTATAATTCATTAACAAGAGTACAATTACTATGAGGTTTGTCTCCATAAACTAGCTCATAGAGGGTTTTTTTATGTGATTTACACCATGAATTATTCATGGCAACTACGACTAATCTCAAACCAAATGACCAGTCACTTCAACCAGTTGTTTCTCTCCATTTTCCCAATTTTTGTTCTAAAATACCACTCGCCCATTTGACAAGACCTTGTGACTGAGGGTGTCTAGGGCGGCCATTGATTATCTTTACAGAGGGCCAGAGTCCAACCAACTCTTTGATAACTTGTGCAACAAACTTTTTGCTATTGTCTGATTGCAGAATAGTGGGTGATGATCCAATTAGATGGAAAAGGTCAAAGAGGTACGATGTGACCTCAATTGGTCTCTTGGATGTGAGCGCCCTTGCTCATGAGAACCGACTAAAGTAGTCTCTTATATGACACACGTACTTAAACTCGCCATCTGGGATGTAGAATAGATCAATTAGATTCATCTACAGAATAAACATCTAATTAGAAAATTTTAAAAATTTTAATTTAATATCAAGAACAAAATAAACATACCTGCAGTCATGACAAAAAATTCTTAGCAATTATGGTTTTGCCGCCAAAGGGTGGAACGATGGTTTTCTCGCAGCACAGGCTGTACAATTGTTCACAAACTCTTCTATGATTCCTTGTTTTATGTATCCCCATTTTTCACGGATCGATATCCACGTTTGCTTCTGACCGCCATGTTGAGTTACTTTACTATGAGTATGACAGAGAACTTCATAAAACCTTTCAGTTATAAGCACAGGGTTTTTCGAAGCCTTTACGATTACTCTGTAATCTCCAGGCATAATTTTCTCTAACTCAAACATTTTTTTAGCCCAACCGTGTAGGTTTTTATCATACAATGAGGTGTCTTTAGGATTTAATAAAATTGTTTTAATTTTATTTAAAAGTTCATTATTAATTAAGGCCTTTGCTTGTTTCACTCTTGAAAGATTGGTTTTATACTCTTCCACGATTCGATAAAGTGTGTTTCTGCTAATAAATATGTATTCCATCTATAGGTAATGAACTCATAAGGCCAGTTCAAAATAAAATATGTAAAAAAAAAAAAACAGTAGTGCCAAATAAAGTGACGCAATAAGATCAAAAGAACAGGTGGCGCCAATAGAAAATGTAGTTGAGATCAAAGAACAGGTGGCACCGATATGAGGTGTAGTTGAGATTAAAGAAAATATGGACCCAATGTGGACTGATAACGATGAGGTCAAAGTACGTAACACCAAGAATAGAGATGGTTTTTAGATAGATCAAAGAAAATAAGTAGTACCCAATGTGAAAAAATAGCGATACCCAATGTGAAAAGATAGCGACACCCAATATGAAAAGATAGTGACACCCAATGTGAAAAGATAGCGACACCAAATTTGAAAAGATAGCGACACCAAATATAGGAGATAGCGTTAAGAGCGGCACTAAATATAGAGATATAGCATTAAGATAAAGCAATTAAATGATACAAACAAATACCAACATTAAATATGAAAAATGAAAATAGTAGGTATCAAGAACCAAGCCAACGTCAAATTCGAAAAATGTAAGCCAATGTCGAACACGGGGAGATACAAAGTCAATATCGAATGCAAGGAGATGCAAAGCCAATGTCAAACACAAATAAACGTAAAACCAAAGCCGAACATGAAGAATCGTAAATCCAATTTAAATGCGAAAAGAGGTAAAGCCAATGAATGCAAAGAGAGGAAAGCTAGCGAAAGCAAAAAGAAGAAAGCCAGCAAAAGCAAAGAGAGGAACCAACGAATGCAAAGGAGGTAAAGCTAACGAATTCGAAAAGATAAGACGAATGTGATGTAAAGCTAACTCCAGGAAATGCCAAAAGTACAAAGCCAAGCTCCAAAAAAGTCTTTTTTATACACTTGGTCGTTAATTACATAGTTATTACGTCGTAATGACATATTATTGCATCGTAATGACATTGTAATTATATTTTTTCTTACATTTAAAAAAATTTTTTTAATGATGGTCTTGCGTTAGATTAAATCTTACGCACGTCAGATGACCGATCGACAGATGACGTACATCACCTGAAAATCAGCATCTGATGTGTGTCGGATTAGATTTGACGCAAGAATCGATCTGAGGCACAACATATATATATTTTTTAATCTAATAAAGATACTAGCAAAGCTGCTGATAATTCAAAAATATTTACAATTTTTAATTATATAGTCTTTGTAGTATAAAAAATAGATACTGCCAAAAAATAAAAATCAAGTTTTTGTTATATTTAGATAAATCTTAATATGTACTATATTTTTAATAATCTTTTAAACTATCTAACAGGCAAATTTACCAACTTAAATTTTTTTAACCAATTATTGTAGAATTTCTTTAAATTTTATTAAACTGCACCCCATAATCTCTTAATTAGAATAAAAAATACTATATGCTAGTTGTATATAATTGTTATTTTGCAAATTTTTTTTAATGATATTTTAAAATCATCTAAGTATAGTTAATCACATATGATTTTCATATAATCTTTTATGATCAAATTTAATAGTAAAATGATACTTGTCTAAATAAAAAATATTTAGATACTCAGAATCTTGAAACAAGAATAATTTTGGCTTTCATATAGATATTAGTATATCTTATATATTACTAATATGTTTTAATCTAATAGTTATTTTTGCTATAATTTGTAATTGGTAAAATATTTAATATTACATATTACTAAATATAATCTATTTCTTTGCTTAATATTCTGTAAAGCAACATTAATGTTTGCATTATTATTTAAATAAATTTTTGAAACAAAAACAATTTTGAACAAAATAATCTAGCACACTTTTGAGTTGTTAATTTATCATATACTATACCCTTTATATAGATTTGATTTGAAATTCTATACGTGTTTTCTAAGATTAATTGAGCATACTTGTTAAAGTATTTAATATTATTTATTGCATAATAGATCAGTACTATATATTATAATATTATTAATTGTTATATTCAACTTGAAGCTTTGTTTTGTAAAATAAAAATAGTATAAATTAAAACAAATATGAATTATCTCCTTATTTGAACAAGCATATTTATCATTAAACAAAGCCTTTTGCGATAACACATGAAGAATTAGAAACTTTGTATATATCTTAGTAGTAGATAAATTTCTGTTTATTTTTTTTCATATGATCCTTAAAAAATTATAATATCTAATATATTTTAATGATAATTACTAACAGAATCGATAAAAGTTGTCTTAGTAAAATTATTTTATTTTCTTGAAAATTTTTATTTTTTAAAAAAAATCAATATTTTTTTTTATTTTTCTCAAACGCAATTAATCATATAAAATAAATTCACGTATAACACACAAGTGAATTTAAAACAGAAGAATTTATAATTTTATTAAGTTCTTTAAATTTTGTTAAGTAAACTAAAAAAAAATAATATCATTTTATTATTAACAAAAAGTTTATAAATAATATTAATTATTGTTAGAAATAATGCTAAAATCAGATAATACTGAAATTTAGAGCCTTAATTTAAAAATATCAATTCTACTAAAGTCTATCTATACTCTTTTATTATAAATACTAACTCTAAATCGAAAAAGCTGAACAAATATCTAGAAAAATTATATATTTTTATAATAAAATAAGTCAAATTTTAGCATTTCTAATTTCAGCATCATCCCTGACAATTATTAATAATAGTAAAAAAAGTACAGATATAAATCTAATTAGTCAAATAATAAATTGATTAGATTGAAAACTGTTTTTTCACAGGCTAATCTTATGTTTTCAACAATATAAGCCTGATAACAATAATTTATGAAATTTTAAGCATGGTTAGTTTTTATTTATTTTTTCTAAAAAGATACGCATAAGAGTTTATATATATTAGTTCTTCTTGGTCTGCTTTAAGAGTCTAATCTTTACTGAATTTAACATTTTTGTCAATATTAACTACATATATTAAAGAGATAAATTATCTTTTTAATATAGTTTAAATTTACTTTTAATTTAGCTTTTTAATTTTTGAAGATATTTAAAATTGAATTAAAATGATTCAGATATTATGTTTCTTGAAAATATGTTTTTGTTTTCTGTCTTAGATATGATTGTACTAGTTATATAGCTAAAAATTATTTTGCTCCAAGCACTAACTATTTCAATATTTTTTATATAGCCATGTGACTTTCATCCAATTAAATTAAACCAATAGCATTTATTTTATAATTGTTTTTTATTAGACAATTCTTAAAGTTGTTACGCAGCATTTATATAATGCAAAGAAAGAATAGCTTTATTATATTAATACAATTAAATATATATTATATAATGATATTATACATAATTATTTAAATGCTTTGGCTACATATTTAGGATACAAACAAAAAATATTTTGTAATTTGCTTCAAAATCTGATATATTATTTAGATAGAATATTACTGAATTGATAATTTTTTTGTAGTGAGTGGTTCTTCATGATCTTTCTAAAAGTTATTATAAAATTTTAATAATATATCACTTTCGATGTATGCTAAGAAAATTTTCTGGCTTTAAATTGTGTAATAGTCTTACAAAATTATCTACAACACACCATAAATTTAATAATTTGATAACATCTATTTCATATAATACTTTTTCTTGATATTTTTTTGTAACATATTTTGTAATCTATTTTTTTTGAGTATTTTGAAAAAAAAGACTTTTTAATAATAGTGAATATGTAACTTTCAAAATCATCTCTAATCATTATATTTTTTAATATCATATAAATATACTCGGTAGCATCTTGATTTTTGTTTTTTAAAAAAATATTTTCAAAGAATTTATTTTTGGTCATAAGTTTTAGTAAAAATTCACTTCTGTACATTTTGATTTCTGGAAATAATTCTAAGAGCTTCATGTTTTTGATATCATTGATTTTAGAGATTATATCATATTCAGTTTGTGGTAAGGATACAGTTTCAAAAACTCTCATTTTTTTGACATAGTAATCGAGTTCTTTAAAGAAAACTTTGGTAAAAAAGATATTGGATTTTTTGTCAGTACACATGATGCTTCTGGCTTTCTTTTTCACATTTTTGTTTTTAAGTATATTTACAAATATATTATCAATAACATATTTAAAGATAACCCTTAATATATCATTGTAGATTTTGAAAACCATTGATTTATCTATTTCAATGATTTTTTTATCCTCAGTAATATGAGATAGTTTTGTCATATATTTATTAACAACTGTTAAATTAATCATCTTGACTTCTCAGTTTGACTTTCTAGTTCTTCATTGATTTTTGTAAAATCAATAATGATATATTTTTTTGTTTTTTATCTCAATTTCATTATCATCAGGCAAATCAAGTACACAAAATTTCAGAAATAGAATTTTTCATCTTTTTTCACTATCATTCTTTTGATTTCTCAAATCTCGAAATTTATTCCTTTGTTGAAAGTGTTTTGTTCAAATTAAATAATATATTCAAAAGACATTTTTTAAAAAACTGTTTTATTTGTATTTGCTATTTGAAATTTTTTGATTCTTAAACAATAAACAGAATCTATATTTATAATATTTGGAATTAATAATATTGATTTATACTTGTAAAAATAGTATAGTATATGATAAATGAACCACTCAGAAATATGCAAAAATTTTTGTTCTTGCTTCAGAGATTATTTAATCGATTATGCAAAGGTTGTATCACTTTTAAATTAAATAAAGGTATTAAACAAAAAAATAGAGTTTAAGTACATGTAAGGATTGGACCTAGTTAGTATAATTTAAGTAATAATACGAAATATATTTGTAGAATAAGATATTTAATGACACCAATCTTTTGTTTTAGCAATATTATAAAAATAGCTTTTAACAAGTATACTTAATTTTTAAAAACTTTATGTATAGAATTCCAAATAAATCTATTTTGAAAAGGTATAGTATGCAATGAATTAAGAACTCTGAAGTGTGCAAGAATATTTGGTTTAAGATTGTTTTTGTTTTAAAAATTTTTTAAATTAAATAAGAAATAAATATACTTGAAATACTGATACAATATATATACTTTATATAAAATAAGATATTTACATGTAATATTTAATTTTACATGTTTTACCAATTACAAATTATAGCAAAATAAACACTTGGTCAAAATATATTAGTGACACATAAAACACCAATTCCTTAACTACTTAGAAATATAAAAGAACAAAATTATCTTTGTTTTAAAATTATTTACTGATTACATGAAAAGTTTATACCAGTCTTAAATTTAGTACAAGATATAAACAAAGAAATAGAACTTAAAAAATTAAATTTATAAAGATATTCTTAGTACATTCCTAACTATAGAATAATTATTTTAGTTAGAATAATTAGAATTTTTTCACATATATTAGTTAGAAAAGAGTATTGAGTATTTAAATATTTTTTTATTTAGCTAACCAATCTTATGATATATTTTAGCATCTATTGATGCTGAAATATATTAGCATACTTATAAGTTAGCTATTCAGAAATGCTCAAGAATATTTTTCCCTTTTACAGTAAGTAAAGATATTAAACAAAGAAATAGAGCTAAAGTATGCGAAAGAACTGAACCCATTCAGCATAATTTAATATATATCTGTATATATGTAAACTAAAATATTTGCGATGCATAATAATTAGAAAAATATGTGAATATTGTCATTTTAATTTAGCTAGAAAAATTCATTGCAATAAACTAATATATGTGATATCTGAATTACCATTTATAAACTAGGAAGTTTAAAAATAGATTTTTATAATAAATTTTTAAT